AAAAAAAAAACACAAAAAACAGCCAAGGTGGAGGTTGTTTTATCATCAAAAACCATAAAAATAAAATGAAATTCGGCGAATTTTTTTTTTTGGTTCGAAATCATCAGATTGCTTTGGATCTTGGTTGGGTTGTCGATTGGGAGATTAGCTTGGGGCATTCATTTGAAGAAGTTTGGCCCTAGATTCGTCAACACATCGAGGATTACAAGGGCCGAGAAGATATTGAATTTTTTTTCAATTACTTAGTAAGTTTTCATTTCATAACACTTTTTTTTTGGGGCAAAGTCCTCACAATCTTCGAGTAACAAGGATCCTGCCTGAACTCTTCATAGAGTTTTAGCAATTGTATGTATCTTTGGAGTTTGCAACTTTAAAGCTTGCAATTGCAATTATGGTGTTTGGATGTCGATGATAATATTATGTCTTCTAATGTCTTCTACATAGTAACTTTCAAGTTTCTAGTTTCTAGTTTCCAATGTCTTCCATCAGGGGATTCAGAGTCTACAAAAGCTGATAATATTGGAGTTAATGAATAAAGTAAATACCTACCATCACATAAATTACCTCCATATTTTTTTCCATGCATTCACCTATTTTTCAGATTATTTGAATTTTTTCTATTTATTGACCGCATTGAGGTGATGCGCCCGCATCGAGCCACATCAGCCCCCCCACCGCATCGCCCGCATTTTAAAACACTGTTCATGACGGTAACTCCATCACACCTCTCTTTTTTGCCCCTTTACTGTCCAAGGAGGAGAAATCGAACACAGAAATACTTCCGCCATAGACATCTAAGTACACAATAAAATTTTATCAAGAACTCTAAACTGTTAATAGGACGGAGGAACTTCACAGAGAAGTTCATGGGTCATCCATAAACTCAACAAAACTCCACAGACATAAAATTTCCTCATCAAGCTCCAGTATGACATAGAATCCCATAATAAGTAAATAAAATTCTATAAGGACATAAGCCACAACCATAGTACAGATAACAAGCTTGGTCCATCATAAAGGTTTGCCAACATTCGAAGATCGAAGCAAAAGAAGAATGCTAGACTAGCCAACTGACATAGAACATGACAGATGGCCGCTGCCAACTATAGAAGATCAAATGGTTGGGAAAACATCGTCATATAAATAGGGGAATTTTTTTTTAGTTAATCGTGTACTCATCAATCAGTCAAAACCATATATTCAGCTACCCAATTGTGTTCTTTAACCACCATTGCACATGGAAATACAAGATACTAGATAGGCTACATTAAGAGGTAACAAATCAAGTAGATTAATGAGCTCAATATGCTATTCCATTTTTTCATGTTGGTGTCCCTTACAGTCTTCCATCTCTTCAATTTTGGAATCCTTATTCAACTTGTCCCTATCATGGAACTCATTAGCAGGGTCATCATGTGCGCTACCAAAACATCCAATAAATCCTGGGGAAGTTTTTTTTTTTAGGGATAGTCTCCGCTACCTATCTCTCTACCCAGAAATTATATCATCTAAGCCTCAACTTCTCAGTCACACCGCTGGAATGAAGTCAAAGCTGAGCTCATCCATCTTTAGACACATCGATCCCAACCACATACAGCTCAAGAGAGAAACATGCGATTGCACCAAAAATCCCCGTCTCCTTATCACACACCTTTCCTTCCTTATGACATATCTTTCCTAAGTAGGTTCCTTCTCAAATAAGCAGGATGTAAAGCTTCCAACGTCCCTAAAATTACGACAAATTCCGCTTCAAATATGCAAGACCAAACAGATAAATTTATTTTTGAAAATTAATCAAAATATCCATAAGATATGAAATATTCCCCATTCTGCCCATTTACAACCATACCACTCAAGACCTTTTTTCTATGGGTATTTTGAATCTAAATAAAAAGACATGGGTAAAATGTTAAACTGTTCATTTCGTATGGATATTTAGATAAATTTCCCTTTATTTTCTTCGAAACAGGATATGACAACAATACATATTTGACAATTCAGGTGAATAACACATCTGATGACTAAAACTTGCGTGACATTTGCGTGGTAGGTAAAATTTAGATGCATAAAAATCACTATGGCCATAATTCTTGCAAGATAACCAAGATTATTCAGAAGAAACATAAGCACTGTTATTTCTTTGATTCTTGTCACCTAATAGAGATAATCCGGACTCACATCGCATAAACTTCAAATTTGTAGATGCATTGTTCTATTTCCATGGCAGAAAGGAAACACAGACAACAAGTAAGAACATCAATGGATTAGGTAGCCATTATATGGCAGCACAGCAAGGACATTCACATATTTATCCATTTGCATTGCAAAGTTATGCATTGGTGAACAAAATTCACTGTAAAGAATACTTGGACAGTGTTTCAATATGCAACAACTTGAATCAATTCAAATGTAACAAACGCATTTGATATAAAGGGGAAAAACAAGAAAAGGAATATCTACATTTCACAAAATAATAAGGCAGATATAGTTGATGGCAAACAAACTACATACCCCAGGTGTTGCTGAAACAGAAGCCTTACTTTCACTGGGCTTAGCGTGCAACCATTGCGGTGATAATGGAATACTGTTTTCAAATGCTAGTTGATCTGCAGATGGTAAAAACACAGAAAAAAAAGAAATGCAATTTCAGACCATACTCCAAACCAACAGAAATGATCACTCTCAATGACTATTAATAAGAGCATAAAAGAAGAAAGAATAGAAATGGGCAGGCAATAAGATTTCTATGAAAATAAAAATACAAAATAAAGAAATAAAAAACTATACTCACCAAAAAATAAATTCATAACTACACCATCAAATATAATTGAGAAATGCCACAAATAGAGGCTGGTCGACGGAAACCAAACTAAAAAAATGAGATGATAACCCATTTATGTCCAATAACAACAACAACAACAATAACAATACAGTTAACCTTTTATTTCATCAAAAAAACCCAACATTGCTTTTCCTGCAGTATAACCTCTAGAACCTTCATCGGATATAACAATAAAACAAACAATGTAGGAAAATCTTTTGCTATGACACTAAATACCCAAAAATTTTATCCAACAGTATGTAACCAAGAAAAAGAAAAAAGAAAGAAAGAAAATCAAGATCGTGAATCCCAAGCAGTAAGTACACTAGAACCACGAATATAAAGGAATCACGAATGGATCCTGTTTTAGATATACTAAGATTTCATCCAAATGAGAACGGGTAGTACAAAAATCAATAAATGCTGATGAAAGTCAAGTGAATTGCTCAAAACTAAAAAAACAAATAAATAAATAAAAGGCCAAATCGCAACAGTTTTCTAATGAGTTTTCTTATGCTTGTCAAGGCTTCTCTAATCATATCTCATTATTGCAAAAGTCACAAATAAAAGATACAGATACCATGAGTACCTAAAGCATGCACAAATGACATCGGTGTGCAATTCAGGAATGAGCGAGATTTACAACTGCTATAATAACTGGGATTCGTGGAATATATGCATATAATTTCACACAACCCTAAAATATAATCCAGCGCCAAAAAATAAATCATATGTATTTACTAATTTTTTAAAATTCAAAATGAATTTCTAACAATTTAATCAATCCAAATACACATCCGCAACCATTAATTCTCAGGAATCATAGCCATTTATTAAAAAAATTAAAAGAAACTAAAAGGAGAAAGGTGATCTGGTATTGATAGATACAACTTAAAGAGAGCGTGAAAAAGAAGGAAACGCAACAGTAGCATAAAATCTGCTACCGGAAAGAGAGAGATGGCACATCTTTCTCTCAAACTCTAGAGAGAGAAGACAACCCTAAAATCCCTAAACCCCGATCCCATAACTCAAGAACCAGAATCACAACCAACTGATACACGAACAGTCAAAAAGGAAATATTTTCCCTGTTCCTAGTCTACAAACCTTTGAAATACTCATCAGGAGATTTCATGAGAATGAGATCATCTGGCAGATCAAACTTCCCTTCAGCCATTGTTGGTAACCAAATCCGATTACAAGACAGAGAAACAGCGAAAAACGACCAAAAAAACCACAAGATCGCTTAGAATCGTAGATTCACAGGAGAGAGAATGTGGAGAACACAGGACCGAACATAGAGAGAGATCGAAAGCAGAGACAATTTAGAGAGAGAAAGGGAGGATACAGAGAGAGTTAGGAAAGGAGACGGTTTAGGGTATACAACGACAGAGGAGTGTTGAGAGCCATCGAAAAAGAGGGGTTTCCTGAGGAGAGAGAAAGGCAAGGGTTTGTGAGGGTCTTTGAAGAAAGAGAAAGAGATATAGAGAGAGAGAAAACGAGTGTGCCAAATTCTTATGCGAAATGCAAGTTTATTCCATGAAACTTTAGCACATGATGAAGGAGCAACTGACGTAAAAGGCCCCAAAACATTCGACAAATATCTAGAATGGGCCTGAATAGGGCAAAAGGCACGTCCCTTTACTATGACTGCCCTTGGTAAGGGATCCAGGTTAAAGGCACGCCCCTTTAACTTAAGTACCGTGAAGTTGCTCTAAAATCAATTTCTAACACAAATTTGAAGTTCAAAAAAATGGTATATATTTTGTGGGTCTCTGAATACTTATTCTTAGTAGGCTCTTAATTTTAGAGTGGAATAGACAGTTCAGATAATACTTTATACTATATACTGTTTTTAAGACTTGAATTTCTTTTTTCACAACTACAATGGCAAATGATGAGATGATGGGTTTTATGGTTTCGGTGCCTCGAGTACAATTTTCAGTAAATTTTAGGTGAGGTTTTGTTTATTGGATGTGGTTTGTATAATATTGAGGCTTTAAGGCGCACCTTCATATCGTATAAAATGATATTGTTTTAATATTTGAAATATTTGTGATGGCCTAAAAATTTATTTTTATCTCTAATTATAAAATTTAAAGCTTATAAAATAGTGGACATCGAGTATATCTATAAATACTTTAAAAATTTGAGAATTGACCTAAAAAATGGTTTACAATATGCATTATTTTAATATTTAAATTTCATTTTTTCTTATATCTATATATCTTGAGGTCGAGATGATCAATTTGAGGATTTTTAGGCATAACAACAAATTTTTTGAGGTGCGCCTTAATTTGATTGTTTAGGGCTTCACCCTTATATAAACTTTTTTCTTGTTTATTAGAGTTATAAAAATATTTTTCTAATAGGTATGGCCCTATTATTTATAGTCGCAGGTACCATTACCATCCAATCTATAGATGATTGGTGATGCCGAATGAAAGTGGGACCAACTTGAACATATAATACCCATCTAGTTGATCCATTCTGTCAACCAGTGTATTTATATGGATTATATCACTCTACATGAATTTGTATTATTCCATGTGAAGCAGTGTCATTTGAAGATCATCTGAAATTCAATATTTACTGTTTATTTTAATAAAGGGCAAGTTTTTTATGCTTATCCAACCGTTCATTCTAAATGGAGGGCTAAGATTGCCTCAATCATAAAATCACATCTCTACACCATTTTATTTTTAATGTTTTTTTCTATAAACTATTTTGACACCAAATTTTGGACATCCATTCCTCTATTAAACTCGTACAAGCGAAAAATATAAAAAAAATTATTTTCAATGAAATAAAATGATCAAAATACCCCTAAAAATTTCAAGAGGTATTTTGATCATTATATTTTATCGAAAAAATATTTTTAATATTTTTTATAGGTGAGGCCCATTGAGAAGATGGCACATACCAAATTTCATATTCATACAATTTGTATAAAAAAAAACTAAAAATAAAATACTTTGAGATATCGGATCTAAGATCAAACGGTGAGTGGCTCTCTTGATCAAAATTAGATGGCTAGATGGTAAGGATAGGATAGAACTTCCATGCTGTAAGGGAAGCATAGAAACCTTTCCCTTTAATAAAATTGTCAAGTTTGGGCATAGTAATCCTCACAAAGTTTTGAATGGAAAAGCTTTACCCTTTTTAGTAGAGGCATGGTTAATATAAAGTTTCAAAAATAAACAATCAGACACACTTCCAAAAGATGTAATTGTTAGCAACTCCTAAAATCAAATTCCATTATTAATGATGAAAATCAACACTATAAAAACATTGCAAATCGAGCAAACTATAAATAATTGAAAATATTACTGAAAATAAATTGTCCCAACGATATGTGTTAGTATGCACTATTTTTTTATGACTCGACATTTTTTTTCCTCATATACATACATCTGAAGGTCAGATAATCAATTGGAGGACTTTTCATCATCAGAACAACCTTCCTAGTAGGCTTTTAAGGTGTGCCTTACTTTTATTGTTTAAGGTTGATGCCTTATATTAACTTTTTCATTCTAGTAATGCATGGTTTTAAAAATATTTCCTTTTATCTTATTAATCATTATGGCTTATTTTAAACATCATACTATAATTTGATGCTTCCTATGAAAATAGGAGTAGACGATTGCTCTTGATGAACTTCTAGCGAGAGAATAGTTATGTCAATGTCTTCTTTAAAGAAGCAGTTTCTATGAAAATTTTGGGTGGTATCCCTTTTATAGAGAAAGTTTCTCATTGCTCTCACATTTCCATTTTGTAATGGGTGGTATTAGTAGTCAAAGGAAATGAGAAAGAAGATCTGCATATGATGTTAGTTGAGATAATGGTTCAAAGTGTTGCACAATTGGGTATTGGCAAGGATTAGAGATATACATTTTGTTAGTATTTATTGTTTTGAAAAATATTATTGTTTCAAAATAATATGCTTTCAAGTGATTATTTCTTAAGTTTTTAATAAATGAAGAGAGACTGGTGGGTTTTAATCCCACAAAAGAAAAGTGAAATTCAAGTGGTTTTTATATGAGAACATTCTCATACTTTATGTTCACGGAACAAAGGCGAGAGTATGAGTGCATGCGTGGAGTATACAATGCATATGCACGCACACTTGAGACGCACTTCAATACTTTATAAACTACAGCCCTTGTTTCACCCATCTAATTTTTCAGTACATTTTCTATCACAAAATCTATAACCCAGCTTTCATTGGAATAGTGGATTCCAATATGCAATACTCATGGGTGTTGCCCTTTCGGGGTGAACCATGTATTACCTATGTTCTTGTGGTATGTGGGATTTTATAATTCTCATTCTTGCTTATGGTTTACACTTGCTTGTTCCTTTTCTAGCCAATTAAATACATGTGCGATAGAACCTTGATCTTTGATGTTTCTGTTCCGCATCTAAGAGGATCCATGAATCATAACAAATTCAGTTAGAGTGTTGGAAAAACTTACAAATTAGTCATCTCGACCTCAACAATTATTGAATTTCAAAAAAAAAAAACAGGATTTTTAGCCTTAATATAGTCTATCTTGTAAACATCTTTTTGGCTTGTCCATTTTGGGTGCTCATAAATCTGCTAGAGCTACACTATTTTTTGAAAATGTAGTTGGTGTCGTTGTGGTAACACCATTTGAGCCCTCATTAAGACTTAGGCTTCCATTTTCACCCAACGCATTAAAAAACCAATGACGGATTTAAAAAACGGGTATGGGCTCATCATCCCCACTCAATTACCACAAAAAAAAAAAGGCTCATCATCCCCACTCAATTACCCAAAAAAAAAAAAAAGTTTAATGTTAAAGGGCGAAATAGATTTACGAGCGATCGCATGGCATGCAATACCAAAACTATAATTTCAAGTAAGGCTATGAATTGCGACTTTATCAAATATATAGTTCCAACATAAGTCACACTCAAAAACTAATGGTGCACCAAGCTACTACAGTAATTCGGAACCTTGGTTTTATTAATAATTGTCATGACATGTTACATAGCTAGGATTTTACATATAATCCCGCCCTGTTAATAAATCTCATTTTTGGGAAATTCCATTATGAATTGAAAATATTTAATTGTGCCCCGGTTAATAAAATAGTATCAGCCAAGAGGCTAAGTAGTAAGGGATTGTCTACAAAGAGACTATTTATTTATTGAACATGGAGGCCACAATCATTCTTGTATTTTAAATTTCAAAATGGGTGGTTGTAAAAATGTTATTGAATAGACAAATTGTGACTTTGTGAATCACCCCAAGCCATCTAATATGACATTAAATGAGAATGAATGATTGTAACCTCTATGTATAAAAGATAAATAATATCTTTATAGATAATCCCAATAGTAATCGTGATACTACATCACAATAAAGGACTGGCATATAATTCCATCTCTATTAAAACATCTCATTTTTTATGAAAGGTTGTTGTTAAAGAAACAATCTAATTCTCAATCCTATTAAGTCATGAAGGAGGAGCTCAATGGTCCTCTTTTTTTTTACTTTAATAAACTATAATTTATTTGTCATTTTGAAAAAGGATAGGTATCATTAAATCTTTTTGCATGTGAATGCCTACGCGAGGCATGGTTTAATTAACCAAATCATAAATATTTTTTCTATTATTTTTCGTTTTTTTTTTTGTTTTTGTTATAATCTCAATTGCTTGATCATCACTTCTAAACTTGAAGATGCATAAGGGCAACCTAAAATTAACTACCAACCCCTGACCTAAACCCGTCTTTACCAAAAATTAGCGTTAATGTTATGAAAATGCCCTTCAACGGACTAGGATTTAACCAAAGCATCCCCATAAGGACCCGGTTTTAATGCAGCCAAGCCCGCACATGTAAAAATGCGGGCCGATTAATAAATTTATTTTTTAGATGGATTTTTGGACTTAATTTTTAACGACATATAATCTCTAACATAGAGATCATGAATATAAAAAAATAAGTAAGTTCTAAAAACTATAAATAATAATTATAGCATGAAAACATTTGTACCGTTAGTTTTCATTGTTTTTAAATGGAACACCTATTTGGAAGTTTTCATTGTTTTTAGATGGAACACCTATTTGCATCCATCTTTAAGATGGATGCTTTACATTTTTTTGACCGCATATATAGTCATGCGGTCCAGCCTGCATGAGTCAATTTTCCCCATAATAATTAGACAATTTCTCTGGACAATGTAAAATTTACCAAACTGCCTTCGTGTTAATGCTAGTATTTCAAAATCTAGATCGGTGGGATGGATTGTCTGCCCCCACAGATCGGTGCGAGATCGCCGATCTCGATCGGTCCGAATAGACTATCTAGAGAATATTTTAAAATAAAAATTTAAAATAGGGTAGGGGAATCAAAGGACCTTAAAAAATATTAGATAAGGTTAAAACGAAAAAAAGAAAAGAAAAAGAAAGGGCGAGTTTTAGGGGCGGACTGTACTGCTATTGAGATCTTTCTAGAACTAGCCGGTTCGCAGTCCACATCGCCAGTTTTAGATCCAGATGGCCTTTTGAAATGCCGGTTAGTGCAAATTCTCGATTTAAGTGGGTGTGGTGTTGAGAAAAGCAAAAGCGGCATCCACGCAAATTAGAATCACACGCGCCCATACAAACACACTCAAATTAGAATCACACACATCCACCCAAATTACAATCATAAACACGCCTATAGCAACTTTTATGGGCCAGCCAACCTATGAAACAAAATACCTTGAACGCCCTAGATTGTCGATCTGGATGGTCCATGTACACCGAAAGGGGTCGGGTATTTTCATTATTTAGATTTTGTGTATGATAGGCACACATGTCCCAAAATTTTCAGCCAAGTTGGACCTATAGAAAAGATTAAAAACAAAAAGTGTCCATATTTTGGGAATGGGGTCGGGGCATTGCTAGTTAGGGGGCAAGTCCCTCAACATAACCTCCAAAGCTTCGTTTTCACTGTCAAAACTTAAAAAAAAAAGAACAAAAAAAAAGGAGTTTTAATATGAGCTATGCCTACTATACTATTCGATAGGCCGGCCGCCTAGCCCTCAAACACCTAATGCACACCTCTTTTTTTTTTTGGGTAATTCAATGGAGAAGGCATGTCCCTACCCCGATAGGAATGGATACCACGATGTGGGATGCTGCCACCGCAACTCCAGCCACTTTCCTCTTAATGCACACCTTTAACAAGCATCATAGTCCTCTACTTACTGTGCTTAAGAAGCAACATATTGCAAAAAAGAACTACAATCATTTTCTAGATTCTCTCTCTTTAAACATAATTAGCGTGGGACTCTTAGACGATGAGTTACTATAGTAATTGAGTTATTGTAGTTTTAAAGACAAAATGAATGATGCTTACATTTGACGGGGTAGCTAAGACCCGGTGCAGCCAAAGAAACCACACTTTGAATTGTAACTCAGAAGTTTATTGGCATTAGGGAACATGCAATGAACTTTTGCATACATTTGTAGCTACAGTTTAGTTAATTAAGATATCTATATATACACTGCATTGTTAGGGACCCCCACATCTAGATAGTCACAGTTAAGAGATAGACATGTGGTGCCAAAATAAATAACGCCCCCATATCTAGAGAGGATGTAGGGCAAGTACCCTCTAAAGACTTAGACATTGGATTATTTGCAAGTATCCTCTAAAGACTTAGGCATTGGATTCTTTCTTGATTTTTGAGTTACTAATACATTAGTGCGTGTTAAGGGGGACTAATCTTTTCTTTCTTCAACTCGCAAATCTTTTACTATTTGTTACTAGCTAATTTTTTTGTGTTTTATAAGTTTAAAATCTTTTAAATTTGACAACTTGGTAATATTTTACTTTCTTTCTGACTTTCAAATCTGCTAATCTTTTTTCTTTCTAGACCATGGAAATCTTTTACACTTCACAACTAGCTAATCTTTTAATCTTAGCTGGTGGCATAAAACATATTGAACCTCTCAAACACGTAAGAGACCCTGAAGACCACATCTCCCTTTCGCTTTCCTTTCTCCCTTTCGTTGATTGTTAGGGCATGTTTTTGTAAAAAGCCCTAAAGACCATGTCTCCCTTTCGCTTTCCTTTCTCCCTTTTGTTGCTAGTTAGGGCATGTTTTGGGGTGCATGAAAATACTTAGGTAAGAGTATTTCCACGTAAAAAACAATAAAAACCCGCCATTGGGCGTGGTAGTTTTTTTCACATCGCTTGATCCCAACGAATTTTCTCACACCAATTGGTAAGCCAATTGATGTGAAAATATTTCCATGTCTAATCACGTAAGAGTTTTTTTCAAATGAAAATACTTTCACAGAGTATTTCCATACAAACCATGCATGTGTCTTCAAGTCTTCCCCTCCGATACCCAAAAATATTAGGCTGTATCGAATTATGCCAAATTCTAATGTCATGAACCCTTAAAAGTGAAATATGATCACGTTCCATTTTGCAGTCATATTACTACATTACTGATTACTTTCAAAATTTGCAAGGGAAAGGAATGACAAATTAATTGTTCACCACCAAAAGAAACTGTTCCTAAACTCAAGAAGCGAAACGTTTAGAAAGTTCGAAGGGTAGCCTCCCAAGTGCATTTCTAAGTCATCCTTTGTGCCGCTTCCTTGGCAAGAAGCCTTTCTCGGGCTTTGGTTTTGGCCAGGGATTTCGATCCCATGATGCCACCACCCCATTTCTTCCTGTACTCATCATACTTATCATTGAAGTTGGCCTGCAAAATTGAACGAAGTCACAATTTTTAGAGAAAAAACAAGGGAAATGCTGATTTGCAGATTTAGAGACTCAGGGAGAGAGAACCAAGTTTGTGGGAATACAGAATCTATGAACAGTTGTAGGGTAAAAATTGCAATATAAATACAGAAATTACATCAGACAAGCTATGGCCAGTTGTAGGTAAAATGTTGTAATATAAAGACCGAATTGAAAACAGAAATAATCTGGAAGCATGATTTATGCTGTCCTCTCTCTCTCTCTCTCACTCACACACACACATCAAAACACAATTCCCCGCCCTTACAAAAGAAATTGAGGGGCGGACAATAGTTGTCCTGATTTTTTTAAATGAATCAGACATCTGAAAATATGTTATAGTAACTAACATTTTGAATTTAGATCTAGAGGAGCATTTAGATCTAGAGGATTTGTTTTCTCCAAAATAATAGGAAGAACATAGAAACAATGTCTCACCTTGATTGCCTCCACTATTTTGCTGAACTCCAATTTATCCTCATTTTTCACCGATGTAAGACACAGAGTGGAAGCAGTTTTCTTATGAACAATCTGTCAGAAGATAGAGAAAGTAGACAAGGAAAAGAATTGATCAATACTTGTAATGGGAGTTAGTATTCAAATTTCAAAATGGTCGAGGATTAGCTAAGTAACCCACCGTTCCCAATCGAGCTTTTCCCTTCACTATTGCGTAAGGAATCTCCATCTTTCTGCACAGTGCAGGCAACCAGACAACCAGCTCTATAGGATCGACATCATGGGCAATAATCACCAATTGGGCTTTGTTCTGTCATGAGGAAAAAGGAAAGAGAGAGAGAGAGCAACACAAGCAAGTAGTTAGACCTGGGAACTAATCTTTAATTGAAGAATGGCACATAAAATTCCCTTTTTCTTTTTTTTAAAAGTTCCATTGCTTAATGCAAATTACAACTACAACCCAAATATCAGCCAGGGTATTATAAAATTTGTTGATTGGAGTGCGTTTTTTCCACAAAAAAATGTACATTGTGGATGATAAAATTCTAGAGGTAAACTAAGTGTGAAAAAAGTTATCCAGACCTGCTCTATGAGGTATGTCACATGGTTCAACCCATATTTGACAACAATTGGCTTCTTAGATTCTACAGTCTTTCCTTCAGCCTCAGCTTGAGCCCTTTTCAAAAGCCTTTCCTTCTTGGCAGCTTTGTCCTCAGGCCTATACTTCAGAAGCATCTTGAAAAGGTTTGTAGCTACAAATGAAGGTTTGTCATCACTGATCAGCACTTATCCAAGCAAGAGATGACAAACAATTTTATACATAAAAACAGCATTCTTTGTCCATGAAATTTCGATGCCACAGATCAAACATCAAACAATTGCTTCATATCCAAACGATTGAACATCAACATTTCTTTTTTTGACAAAGACATTAAACATCCACATATTTCTTATTATAATATACAACAGATTACGGAAACCAGAGTCCTTACGGGTCACAGTCAAAAGTGCACCCAAGAGAACCACAAAAATAAAATAAAAATCCAAGTATGAGCACTCGGATAAAGTAAGCCATCCCAAGATGCATGTCCCTTGAAGCAACCATTGTAAATTAGGGATCTATACAGTGAAAGAAAATAGCATCTTTTATTAGGATATGGGGTCCTACCCCCGTAGCCCAAAGTCACGGAGCTCATAATATCAACTTCTAGAGTTTGGGTCTCACTACAAAGCTTACCCGTGCTTTCCTTCTGGTAGACCCAAGGGAGGACATCCATGAAGGCTCATCAAGTGATGCCCACTCTAATTAAATAGAATAACAGAACCCTTCATGAAATTAAAGAACTAAATAAAAACCGATATAAAGACAAGGCTTTCCAGAAATGAAGTTACACAGCAGCACGCCAGCTTGGAGCAAGAAATAGCAGCCCACATGGCATAAGCATCAGCCCCAACCAAAAGAAAGTTAAATATAGCACAGATGCCTATGGAAATGAAGAGACATAGCTCCATTTCACTTTCTCCAAAAAAAAAGCTCCATTTCATATCACATATTTAACCAAAAGCATTGTCAGCGATCCTAGCAGACTATCATAACCATCTTGAACAATATCATGATTTACTATCGCATGAATAGACCATTAAAAATGACCAGTTTTCCTCTATCAGATTAGCCCTAACATCACCAGATGCAACTGAATAGTTCATAAAATGGCCTCCAAGTAGGGAAAGTAAACTCAACTTATTATCAAACATTATCTTTTTTTAATAGTCCCAGAAAAGTACTTTTTTCTTACCAAGGTTCTTATCCAATGTCTTTGTAAACTGATTCAAAGCTGGAGGGACCTTTAGCCTCTGCTTTAGTATTCTTCTTTGCCTTTGAATACGAACAACTTTAGGCCACTTCACAAACCTGTGAAGGTCCCTCTTTGGAGGTAATGCACCACCAATTCCGAACTGCTTTGGGCGTTTCTCAAATAAGGGATTCACTACCTTTTCCTGAAAATAGAAACAAAATAATTAAGGGGAATTCCTGCCAAAAAATTAATAATAAGTCGGGAATGCAAAGTTATGCATTACATATACCGAGAAGATGACAAAATCCTCATTAAAAACATAGAAATAACTACTTACAGCCTTTTTCTTGGCCGGAACAGGAGCCTTTCCGCCTCTTTTGGGAGCCTGCAAGCCATAATTCATGAGTGACTGATAAACAATAAAGCAAGTATGACAGGACTACCTGAGTTGCATCCATCAGCTAGAACTTCAAGTACATTCATCCAGACGAAGTATGAAATTTAAAATTTTTGATACAGAAAAAGACGTACAGTACAAATAATAAACTGATACTGAATATCACAGCCCTCTTATAATGATATGGAAAAGGGAAAGAAACAACATTCATTACCTGGTTCCAAAATTATTTACTTATGGGAATGCCATAAATATTTATTGCACTAACTCCAATTTTAAGTATGGAATTAAGGACACCATATACAACTGCATCCATGTGGATTATCTTTGCAACTAATTCACTAAGTTCAGCCCACTAAAACTAAGCCCGTATCAAGCACCCAAATCTATTGAAATAATTCCAACCTCCAATCACCTGCACCTACCCAAATGTGCTCCCAAATTCCCAATCTCTCTTGCTTTTTCACTCAACTTACAAGAATATTTGCTTCACAATTCTGCTTACAAAAACTACATGTCGCTCTCACAACAGCTGACCACCATACCTACAAGCATCTCCATTATTGTCATGTACTTCAATCTGCCCTCGAACCTCGGGCTAAACTTAACTTCTGCAAGGCACCTAGCATATGGATTGCAAAGGCCCAAAGAACTCCTTTCCCACAATCCTCATGAGCTTGCCCCTTGATCTAGACTTCAATCTATCTTTCTGTTGATCATTCAATTGAGATAATTACAGAAATAATATGCTTCTCCATGAGAAATAATCGCCCAATCAAAGATAACACCTACCATGCCTATTAGGTTTGCCCCATTGACATCTTATCAAATAGCGGTTAAATAAAGAGCAACGCATTTCTACATGCCTCTTGCAGATTCCTCTCCTATCCATCCCCAAACTCTAGTAGTTCACTACATGCCCCAAATCATTAGCCCTGCTGACCACCATCACATCTAAGACCAATTAGTGGTTTAAGATCTTAGCAGAAATGACTCCCCAAACAGACACACAATGCGTGGTTTGAAAGCTGGCAGAGGTGGCTATCCTTTTCTTTTTGACTGATTTGTATTTATTGCGATCTAACATGGTTCTTCTGTAAACAGAAGAATTCACTAAAACAAGTAAAATACAGCACAGAAAAGCAACTAGAAACATGCTAAGACTTAAAAAAAGGGGGAAAATAAAAACCAACTTGAGATGTTGAGGGAACATCTCAATTCTCAAGAATAAGCAGAAGAATTTATTCAAATAGGTAAAAGATACCGCACAGCACTAGGGAGAAAAAAAATGCAACTAGAGACATGTCAAAAAATTAAAAAAAAAGGGGGGAAAAAGCAACTTGAGATGTTGAGAGAACATCTCAATTCTCAAGAAGAAACAGAAGCAAACAAGTAATGAAAAATGCATATTTTGACACATGCTACTTTTGACTCTACCATTGACAAAAATGATATAGTATTCCTGCTTTAAAGTACAGACTTCAAAACCTCATTGTTTTTTATAAGCACAAAGAAAAACCCTTGCATAAAGAATCCCAAATCAAAAGTTTGTAATGCCATGTACTATTCAATATAGAAACCACAAACGTCCAAATCACCATTGGTATACACTTCTCAACAATGGAACATCTCAATTCTCAAGAAGAAACAGAAGCAAACAAATAAGGCAAATGCATATTGACACATGCTACTTTCGACTCTACCATTGACAAAAATAATATAGTATTCCTTCTTTAAAGTACAGACTTCAAAACCTCATTGCTTTTTATAAGCACAAAGAAAAACCCTTGCATAAAGAACCCCAAATCAAAAGTTTGTATTGTCATGAACTATTCAATAATGAAACCACAAAGTCCCAAATCACCATTGGTATACACTTCGCAAAATTCCGTTGGTTATTCCTCTTTAATTTCTTCTATTTGAGCCTCAATCTACCATTTTTTAATAATGTTCCAATCTCCTATAGCATCATTCTACCTATACCAAAATTACGAACCAAATACACCCATAACCAATTTATGTAAGATCACCCTTTCCTTCTCCTTCTTGAACTCAATCAAAGTGACTACCCTTTGATTATTCCCTTTACTTTTGATCAAGCAGAAGACTGCCACCTTGGCCTAAATGTGTAAATCAACATGGCCAATAAGTGTATTGGTGACCAACATAACCCCTCAAAGTGTCAATATTTGTCAGAGGGTATAAACAAGGAGCGCGAATGAGCAGCATTAGTACTATTACATATCCATTCCATATATACATTTATATAGATATATAGCGATGGTCATTAATAAGAAAATATAGGAAATATGAATTCTAGAACCTGAGAGCAAGGCCAATCAATCTTTATCAAAATTTTACTAGCATTAAGAAAGGAAATAATTCACAAAAAACTATGCATTGGTGTTTAATGGAGGTTATGATTTACTTGTTAAAGGAACTACAAATTTGGCTGAGAGACCAAATAATCCAATATCAAATTGTGATGACTGCAAGAACACCACCTTTCTACCCCAAAGAAATCACATTTGCTTTCCCCAAAGGTAATGCCCAGAACGTCCAAGTTCTTTTGAGGAAATAACAACTTAAAATTACCGGCTCCTTTAATCATGTATTTTGCATTGAGGGTTATAGTTACAGCAAATAACAGATGCAGGTTAACAAACCAAAAAAAACCCAGATACATCCAAAACATACAAGTTAGCTCTCGATCCTACATTTTTTATATGAAATATGTAGAATAAAAGAATACATTTCCTCAGTGAACAAAATTATGCAAAAGAACAAAAAAAAAATCCAGATCTAAAGCTGTATAGCAACATATGCCATGATATTGATCAGTACAAAAAAAAATGACGCAAGTAAAATGAAAATCACAGAGATATGAGGTTTCCAAATGCGTTGAATAGTTTACTAAACGAAATACACCCTCGATGTAGTTCTTAAACCCTAAAATTACAGATTCAACAGAGAAACAAAACCGCAAGAAGCTGTGGTTCAAAAACTTAGATTTTGGAGAAAGCATGAAGAGAAAGGAGCAGAGAAGGTCATACCATTTGCGGTGAAGGAGATAGTTCGAGCTCCGCCTCACTGGTAAGGGCCTCGATAGATGGAGCGAGTAAGAAAACGGGGATATAAAGAAGGCGCGGCGCTGTGGACGAAAACCCTAACGACAAAATCTGAGGACCTTTATTAACTTGGAAGGCATATTTTCTCAATTGAAATTCCTCGGTTAAAAATTTTCAAATAATTTTTTTTATCTACAAAAAAAATTTGCAATTTTTAGTTTTTACGACCACAATAGTTGAGATTAGCCGATCTAAAAAATTTGCACCTTATTAAAAAGGTGCAATTTTTTTATCTACTAGAAATATGGAATTTTTAGTTTTTAAGACCACAATATTTATCAAAAAAAAGTTTTTAAGCAATAAAACTGTTAATGCGTGTTTGGCAATAAATATTTATTTTAAATATAATTTAATCCTAACTTTTAACAAATATATAATGATCTTTAATATGGAGATCATTAATATAAAAAAATAATAATAATTAAAAATATATAAATAGCAATTATATTAATAAAATATTTTAACCATTAGTTACAATTGCTTTTAGATGGACCACCTATTTGCATCCATCTTTAAGATGGATGCTTTATACAGCTGGACCGCATATGCAGAAATGAGGTCTAGCCCGCATGAAACAATTTTCCAAATCTAATCGACACTTTTTCTTTTGTTACATTCGTGTAAAAGGGAAAGGTTTATATATTGGAAAGCTTTATGAGTTCCTCCTACAACATAAAAGTCCTATCCTCCTCCTACCATCCAGCTGTCCATTTTTTATCAATAGAGTCACTCATCATTTGATCTTAGATCCAACGTTTCAAAGTATTTTATTTTTAGTTTTTTTAATACAATTTTTTTGAATATGAAATTTGGTACGTGTACTCATTGGGGCGCACCTATAAAAAAATATTAACATTAATTTTTTGATAAAAAATAATGCTCAAAATACCCTTGAAACTTTCAGTGGTATTTTGGTCATTGTATTTTATTGAAAATAAATTTTTATATATTTTTTTGTTAGTGCGAGTTTAATAGAGGAATGAGCGTCTAAAATTTGGTGTCAAAATAGTTTATAAATAAAATAAAATATTGTACAGACGTGATATTGTGATTGAGGCAATCTTAGCCCTCCATTAAATAATGGACAGTTGGATAAGAGGGAAGATAAAACTTCTATGTTGTAGGGGGAACATAAAAAGCTTTCCCTTCTATATTTCCTTGGCGCATAAAAATCTGACCAAGGCTTCTAGTTTTAAGCGTGTAGACTAGACTCCATTGGGAGCATACTATACATTTAAGGGTATGGCAAATATAAGGTTGAGGCCCTTAAACAATCAAAATAAGGCGCAAGGTGTTGTTTCAAAACTGAAAATCTTTGTGATGCCTCAAAAAATTGTTTTTGTCTCTAATTATAAAATTTAAAGCTTAAAAATAATATAGATCACATATATCTATGAACATTTGAAAATCTTGAAAACTGGAGGTCCAGAAAATACATTACAAGATGTACTATTTTCTATACTTGAAATGTATTTTTTCTCATATCCATACATCTTGAGATCGAGATGATAGATTTTAGGATTTTTAGGCATCGACACAACCTCTTCTAGTAAATTTATGAGGTGTACCTTATTTTAATTATTTAGGACCTTGCCCTTATATAAACTATTTGGGCAAGACACTTATTTGGGTGGGTTTTTCCTTTTTTTAATTAAAAATTTTGGGATCCATCGAATTATAACTAAGTGATAACTTTCAAAGCAAAAACTTGAATTTTGAGTTCTAGATTAGTCCCTTCAAAAACTGGATGGCTCTAGTGCGATCGTCTTTTTAGGCACATGAAGACTGAAAATTAATTATTCATTTTTTTTTATTGTTTGAGGTTGATTGCCGGGCTCTAGAGATGACATCTCCAAATTTTGGGATCTAAAATATATGTGTAGCATAAGTTTTGCCCAAAGGAATAGATGCATAGTATACCCCACGGGACCAGTAAAGTTCTTGGCTTTAGTCTTTTTGGAATAAGTCTTAAAAATTGGGTCTAAATTTTGATTGAAGGTCTCCAAATTCCAAAAAAGAAGGCAAAGGTTTAAAAGCTAGTGATGTTTTGATCTGGATTGTTGATCTGGATAGGAATAGACTGGGACCAGACTGGTTTTGGGATGATAACGGTCTCGGCCTAGTACCCCTTTAAAATAAATAAAATGAAATAGATTTTGAAAATTTTGGATTGGTGCGGCGGAACATTCACCCACATATCCATGTCGAATAAGCGGATCGGGTAAGGATATTGTTCAAATCAGTGATACAAATATTTAAAGTAAATAAAATAAAATAAAATAAAAACTAAAATAAGGGTTTACGGTGTGGAGATTTAAAGGGACCTAAAAAAATATTGAACAAGCTTATAAAAAAAGAAGAAAAAAAAAGGATCTAGGAAGGGATTTTAGGGGAGTCGGGATCGGAACCATGTCATCTCAAAACCGGTTTGGTCCTTACTGATTCCCATCCGAATTAATGATTCCAGGTCAGAAATTGTCGGATTTTAAAACATTGTAAGTAAATAAGTCCTCCCTCTAAAGTTCATTTTAGAGATGGATTTTGGATCCAAAAGTTAGGGCTGAGAATCTTTGTTATTGTGATCATGAATATAACTACAACAACAATAGTAATAATAATAGCAGCAGCCAACAACAACAATAATGTTGTTGTAAATGCTAATGTTATTATTATTATTATTAAAAATTGAAAGATAATAATTTGTTATTTATTTCTTAACACCCTCCATTTAAAATTTAGTGAAATTACCAGTATTAAGTATCAATCTTTAAGAAGTTTGGTGCGTCACAAAATTGGAAAAAAAAAAAGAAAAAACTTTGGGACTCTATGCCTGTCAACAGTATACCCTCAACCACTCGATTACACATCCAATTGTTAAATTAAAATTTAACCTCATTATGCGCAATTAAATTTTTTTATGGGAAAGGTTTTTATACTTCCCCATGCATCATAAAAGATATATACTTCCCCCTCCATCAAACCTTCCAGTATATGATCAAGTGAGCCACTCATCGTTTGATATATATCCGACACCTTAGAATTTTTATTTTAGTTTTTTTCTACAAATTGTATGAATATGAAATTCGGTATGTGTCATATTTTCAATGCGGCGCACCTATAAATATAATGACTAGAACACCCCTTGAAACTTCCAGGGGTACTTTAGTCATTTTATTTTATTGGGAATTTTATTTTATATTTTTTACAAGTGCGAGTTTAAGAAAAGAGTGGACGCCCAAAATTTAGTGTCAAAATATTTTGTATAAAAAATTAAAAATAAAATAGTGTAGAGACGGGACATTGTGATTGGGACCATCTCAACCATCCATTCAGAATGGATGGTTGGATATAGGGAAGTATATAAGTTTTATGTTATAGAGAAAGCATAAAAAGCTTGCCCTTTTTTATTTTATTTTATGGTATATCTCAAATTAAAACTTCAAAAACTTGAATAATCAAGGTTAGTAACCTATTTTTAATTTTGGGTGCAGTCTGTATAGAGCTAAGGCTCTAAACAATCAAAGTAAAATGCACTTTCAAATAGTATCGAGAAATGTAGTTTCAATACTGGAAATCTTTGTGATAGCTTTAAAATATATTTTCATATTTAATTATAAAATTTAAAGCTTAAAAAATAGTGTAGATCGAGCATATCTAGGAAAACTTGAAAATCTTGAAAATTGATTGTAAAAAAATGTGTTACAAGATGCACTATTTACAAAACTTGAAATCCATTTTTTTCTCTTTTCCATGCATGTTGATGTCGAGATGATGAATTTGAGGTTCTTTTGGCATCAAAAACAACCTCTGCTAGTGAAAGTTTTTAGGTTGGCTCTAATTTGATTGTTTAGAGCCTCGACTCTGCATAAACTTTTTCCTTTAAATTTTGACTTGATTTTTGAAGAATATTATTACCAATACTAATATAATACTTGTTTTACTTTTCGACGGCGTATTGAGTGGATCTATTTCATGGAAACTTGAATGCAATTGACAAGTGACTATTATACTTTAGGAAAGGGGCTGGGGTCATGGTGGTAGCATCCCCACATCCAATTAACACATCGTGGTATCCATTCCCATTGCTAACACCCCCAATTAATACGTTAAAAATGTGACTTCCTAATCTATTGAAAAAACAAGTAGGGGCTGTCTTTCCCATTGAATTACCTACCCCAAAAAAAAAAGAAAAAAAAATACACAAAAAGGAATTTACTAACTATAAGTAAAGGAAAGTATTTGGTGAGTACATCCCACGTCCATCACTCCATCTTAAATATGGGCGTAAAAGAAAGGGAAGCCCACCATAATATAATTTTAAGGGTGAACAAAAAAAAGGCTTACTTTTGAATTGTAAAATTGATTTTACTTTTTATGATCGCCATTACCATTGTCTAGATCATGGATCCCTTAAAGATTGGATCCAAAATGTATCCTCAAAAGGGATATTGGAGGGAAAATACACCTGAATAATATGAATCTGCGGGCTCATAGAGTAGATTCTTCTTATTTCATACCTTTGCTGCGCTTGAATTTTAGACCAAGAAGAGCCATGAGGCCACCGAACATCGCAGCGAAAGACACAACAATGGTTGAAACCTTATCCATTTGACATAAGAAAATAAACGAATCAACTAAGAGTAACCTTTGTTTGACCATGTCAGGTTGGTAGATGCGAGGGAGTAAAATTGATAATGTAGGAGTGAGTGTTAGTATTTTTAATTTGAAAAATACTATTTAATATTTCAAAAGAATATCTTTTTATTTTACATTGTTTTGAAAAAGCAGTGAATTGTCTTTTTGTGTAGAGAGACAGCCTCGGAAAATAGTACAGAAAGAGTGACGATTTCTACGCTCTCATGCCTTATGTACATGTACACAAAGGATGTGTGTGAAAGCTCTTGATGGTGCACTTCGCATCGACCACCCTCACCCGAGTATGTGTGCAAGTTGGGTTTGTGGCTCGCTAAATTTTTTTTAGCTCGTGTGCATGGGGTCCTTGGGTTCAGTTACATGGTAGAGTGAACAGTCACTACCCCTTCACTTGAAGGACCATATCGAATAGCTACCTTCTCTCTATAAATTATAGGCAAGTATTCTGATTTCAGATAACCCGAGGCCTGTTTTGCCTGGCGGAACCTTTTTGCACACTATTATTAGCAAGGAAGAAAAGTACAGTTCTGAGAGAGCACTCTAGCCCTGCTGAAAACAACAAGGTTCCTTCCATTCCTTCTGCAGTTTTAAATCATTTCCTCAACAATTACTACAGCCCCCATTTGACCCCACAATATTTCCCAACAGTAATTCCATTTTTTCCACTTTCCTTTGTTTTTTCAATTATTTAACACCGAGAATGATGAGACATGCGCAACTTCTATCATTGTCAAACCAAGATAAAAAGCAAGGAGAAGGGAGAAGGGGAGCAAAAAAAACTAGCATTGGACTCTCAGAACTCGAATATACCTTTCTAATTTCTATTCTTACACGTTCTAGCACAACCGTTAACAACTAATTGGGTTGACCCAGGAATCTCTGGGGTTGACCCGGATTGGGACCATGAGGAAGCTTGTAGCAGTCTTCAGAAAATCGGTTTATTCTCCTGTGCCTAGGGTGATGGAGGTGTTGTTCAATCATAAAATCGACAGATGGCCACTAGTCTTTATTAACTCGGGATTGGGACCCCAGTGCATCTAAGCTCGAGTGTCGGGATCCTAGTGCGTCGAAGCCCAAGTGCACACTTTTGAATTAATCCAAAATAATTAGTTTTCTCACCAGCAAAGAACTTGGAATGTCGTGTGAGTACGCTAGGCTTCAAACATTAGCCATGTAACTGATCCAGTAGGCCTAAACCCATTTGCATTCCATACATGTTTAATTGCTACCCATAATCGCCAGTGCCAAAGAACCCAGGCACATATCCCTCCAACCTCAAAGAGTCATCTAACAAATCCAACATTTCATGGATCTCCTTACTCTGTGGATGCGATTTATCCCCCGAAACAAACTCATGAACGTTATTATTCGCCTCAATCCAACTCCTTCCAGGAGTTTTACTGACACCATTAGCCTTCATAATGGCTCTCACCCTACCGGAATCATGCCACCTCCCTAGACCCGCATAAGCATTCGACAACAACGCATAATATCCCGCACCCTCCGGTCCCAATTCAATAACCCTTACTAATGCATACTCTGCGAGCTCAAGGTTCCCATGCATTTTAGAAGCTGACAGTAAAGCCCCCCATATAACTTCATTAGGCTCAAAGGGCATGCTCTTTATAAGGTTATGGGACTCTTTGAGCTGACCAGCTCTCCCCAACAAGTCCACCATGCAACCATAGTGTCTAATATTAGGGCAAAAACCATACTTCTCCTCAATTGATCTGAAAATATTGAGACCTTCATCTACTAATCCACTATGAGCACAAGCACTTAAAACCCCAGCTAAAGTCACTTCATTTGGTTTAAAACCATCCTTTTGCATGTTCTCAAATAACTCTATGGCCTCCTTTCCCTTTCCATGCATGGCCAGACCACATACCATAGTGTTATAAGAGACCACACTTCTCTTTGGCATCTCATTGAAAACTTCAAGAGCATCTGCTAAAGACCCACATTTTACATACATATCCATGAGCCCATTAGCCAAAGAGACCTTGTTTATGTCAAGTCCATGGGCCTTCACATACACATGGGCCCATTTTCCGATCCCAAGACCACCAAGCCTCGCACAAGCGGAGATCGCACCCAAGACTGCCACCTCATCAGGGTGGACCCCACAAGCTTGCATTGCCCTAAAAATCCCCAAGGCAAGCATTGGGGATCCATTTCGTAAATGACCCGAAATCATGGCCGTCCACGTAAAGACATTTCTCTCCGGCATTTTCTCGAAAAACTCGGCTGCCTCATCCATGAGACCAGCTCTGGTGTACACATCGATCATCGTAGTCCACATGACCACGTTTCTTGTGGGCACTTCATCGAACACTTTGCGTGCGCAGTCCCGGAGACCAAATTTTGAATACATGAGAATCAAAGAGTTGGACACAAATGGGTCTACAATTACACAAAATTTTAGGGTTTGAGCGTGTATTTGTTGGCCCAATTCTCGTGCTTCAAGGTTTGCACAGGCCTTGAGGACTATGGGAAATGAGAAAGGGTCAGGTTGTGTACCATGAGAGAGCATATGTGTGTATAGTATGAGGGCCAGGAGATGTGCGCCATGGCTTGTGTGTGCTTTGATGAGAGCGTTGTAGACAGAGGCATTAGGATTTTGGACTTGGGTTAGGGTTGTATATGCATAGTGGGGGTTCTCGAATGTGGTGTATAATTCGATGAGTTTCCTGGCGATGGGATTGTGGGCTTGGAGTTGGGATTTCAGGGTTTGGGCATGGATTTGTTTGAGTTGGTTGTGGGTTGTGCATGATTGAAGCAAGTGTATGATATGGTGTTGTGTTCTTAGGGTTTGGAAATGGTGGTTAGATGGAGGGAAGGACGCTGATGGGTTTGCATGAAGACCAGCAATTTCTAACATGTCTGGTTACTATTTTCTAACATGTCTGGTTACTTTTTTCGAACATGTCTGGTTAGTTCATTATCCAGAGGTTTTTAAGCGAATGTGCACATTTGAGCTTCAATAGTTTTCCATTTTGGCTCAAACCAATGGTTTATATCAAAAGGATCGGTAACTTGGATCAGGCAGTCCAAAAATCGGATTAGATCGGTGAATTAACGGTCCGGATCATCATTTTATTGTGTCGAAAAAGAAGTGAACTAGCGAAAAAACACATGAAAAGACAGTGAACCAGCCAAAAATCAGTTCGGATCGGTGAATCGGCAGTCTGGATCGCAGTTTTAATATACTAAACCGTTGGTTCCCTTCTAGACTCGTCATTTTCCTCTGTATACGTAAAACTGAAATGGGGCAAACGATTCTCGGGACTAGGCAATTCCTTGTCGACACAGGTTTTTAAATCACTGGTTTAACCAACAAAGGATTATGATTATTCATAACCGTTAATTGTTAATGTGCAGCTTATTGCTTACCAATTATCACCTGTTATCTTAATGCCCATTATAATGGATTGAATTTCTATTTTTTAGATCCATGATTGTCGAGGCTGGAATATTGATTTGTAAGTTTCCTGACATTGAATATACATTTTCTATTAAGATTCGACGAGGGGCTTTTGGGGCTATTTAGATGTACTTGTTATCACTGATAATTCATTGTTTCAATAAATTATACTTGATAACAAGTTATATGTTGTTTGGCTCTGGCCATCATAAAATTATCTAAGATAAACTTAAAGGTAGTTTACATAAAAGATTGTATTTTAAAAAAGTTGTATTTATCTTATTCAAAGTATTTTGCTGAAAACACACACCTTTGCCAAAAAATAACTAAATATTGCCAAGAAGCTTAAATAATTAAATAATATTATACACAACACAAGATACCTATCAAACAAACAAACTTTTTTAGAATATCAATGCCAAATAAAATAAATTGTAATCCAAACAGGCCCTTACAATATGCAGCTTCACAAAATATTGAATGATAAACTACCTACCTCCCTACATTTTGAGCGGATGATGGTCACTCAGGGCTAGGTTGCTAGTCATAATGGCTAAAGTTAGAGTCGCGACTTTAAGATAGTCGTGTGGTGGCGTGTTCTATTTTTGATAACGCATAATGACAGACTAGGATTCATGTAACAGATCCCAAATAGTTGGTAAAAAGTTTTGAGGATGATGATGATCGTGGTGTTTAACTACCCAAACTAAAAAGGTACTTTTTTTATTTGAAAATTACTTATGGTTCTCACTTTTTAATTAATTTATTGGCACAAAACTTTTAGGTAACAAAATCTGCTTTCGCATACTTTTGTCTCTGAAAAAAGAAAGGCTAATCTAGTGCTTTGGATCTTGTTGTACTTGTGCATTAATACAACTAATATGAGTTTGATCTTTTGATTGTCTGGAGAAGTCGGATGCACATTAATTATTATCAATAAGGAGCAAAATATCATATTGATAAAGAGAACTTGTGCCAAAAGATAGAAAGATCGTGAGTTCTTCAAAGTGTTTGACAACCTATTAACTTAAGGAAAAAGTTTATGTAAGGTTGCAACTTTAAAATGTAGATTCAATGTGCATCTAGAAAATCCATCGAAAAATGTTGCTTTAATGTTGAAAAAGCCTATAATTGATCATCTCAACATCGGGATGTATGAATATGAAAAAAAATGCAACATCGTGCAACACATTATCTAGACCGTCAATTTTCAAGATTTTCATAGATTTTCATATGTTTATAGATCTACTTGATTTGAATCATTTTTAGAGTTTAAAATTTTTTAATTAGATATGAAAATAATTTTTCAAGCCATCCCAAAGTTTTTGACATTAAAATTACATGTTATGATAAAATCAGGAGGTGCACCTTAATTTGATTGTTTAAAGTTGCAGCTTATGCAAACTGCACCCGTATCTTAATCCCCATATTTTACCCATCCAAATCAAACATGAACTTGGAAGAGTGGGATGCACAAAGGACTTGATGATTTCATGACATGTTGGGTACGAGTCATCCTCTTTCCATCACCTTCCAACCGAGTGAGGGGAGGTGACAGCTTTTATCACAGCAATGTTAAACTGATCATATGATTGGGGCATATGGTGAACTGTCATGGGGTAAAATGCACATTTACTCAAACACTTACTTAAGAGCATTGATTTAAGAATCCTGCTCCAACTTAGAATAATTCAGTTAGAATAGGATGGGGAGTAGGGGTCGCAATGGACCCGGACCCAACTTGGGACCTGAGGTATAGACCTGATCGGGGTTTGAGTGTTGATCCGAAAATTGGACCCGGCGGGTAACGTTTGGGTCAAGATCCAAATCATGTACCTAAATATTACTCTTGTCCGGATCCGAAGTACGGGTCCAGTAATATTTTTGAGTCCCAATATATAAAATATATTTAAATATAGTTAAATATATTGATATTTTAATTTTTAGGTCGGGTCCGGTTCTCACACTATATTTTCGAGTCTGGATCCAACCAGACTTGGAGCTGACTTGACCTGTTGCCAACCCTAATGGGAAGGTGGATAATTTTGGTACGACAAACCTTGTTTACTCTGATTCTCTATTTATTATTATTATTTATGGTTTCTTTGTTTACTTTATCCCGGTCTACCTTGGGAATTGCCTGAATGAGACCACATTGGCATCGGATCCTTAGTGATTCATGGTCCCAATTTTGAATTTTCAATTGTTGCTTCAACGTTTTTTTTAATACAATATGAACAATGTAATAAATAAAATGAAATATTTTCATCTCTTAAGAAAAATATCATATTAAATGGATGGCCTACATTTACTGGTCATTGTGCACATTCATATGGATGAGCTTTAAGTCACGAAAGCATTTTTTCTAGTAATGGTCACTTATATGAATTAAGAAGATCCAAAATTTGAGAGATCCAATTATATGCTCTCGTTGGAGCGCAGTTTCATTTAGTTTCTCAGGCAAGTGACCTATTTGGGAGGATATTTTTTATCTAAATATTTGGGATCCTCTTTAGAGTAGAAGAATGCATGAAAAATGAAAAGATTTTAAGCACCTACACACTTGAACCTTCTAGAGAAACGGTGGGAATTTTGAAGGTTTCTTTTAGTTGATTGCGTAAGTCACATCCCAAAAGTTGTTTTTGAACATTACCAAAGAATTTTCATTAAAAAAAAAAACAAATTACAATATAGGGACAAAGTCCATAGGAGGAAGTAACCACCAAAAAAGATGGGTGTACTCCTTTAGCAAGACAACCAGCCTCAATATTAGACTCCCTATAACAATGACATATTTCCGTAGTTATAGTTTTAAGAATATCCTATATCTCATGAAAAAGCGTAGTCTAACCTCTATTGTATATTAGTTTCGCATTTACTCTAAGCTATAATGTTTGTTGAATCCTCCGTTATGATCTTCCCTCCCTCAATTCTTGACAAGAGATTAATGCATTCTAACTTCATCTTCATTAATTGCAGTGACACCGCAAGAGCCAGAATATAAACAAATAATGTGCCCCATATTAATATCCTAAAACTTAATATCCTAATTACGCTCCTAGTTTGGACTTTCGCCGGGAAACCAACATGCAGGCTCCCTCGAAGGCATATAAAGTTCCATTATAATGATACTTTCCTGTACTGCTTAACCATTAAGGAGTAATGATAATGGTAGCAGCACCATGACTCCATCTCCATAATCATTTTTTGAATCGTGCCATCAAAGTTCTAAAATAATTCATGCACTTGAAAAACATGGGAAAGGTTTCTATGCTTCCCTTACAATATATAAGTTCTATCTACCCTTTACCATCCAGCTGTCCAATTTTGATCAAGAGAGCCACTCACCGTTTGATCTTAGATCTGATGTCTCAAAGTATTTTATTTTTATTTTTTTTATTCAAATTGTATGAATATGAAATTTGGTACGTGCCATCTTCTCATTGGGGCGTACCTATAAAAAATATTAAAAATAATTTTTTGATTAAATATAATGATCAAAATACCCCTTGAATTTTTTAGGGGTATTTTGGTCATTTTATTTTATTGAATTTTTTTTTATATATTTTTCACTAATGCGAGTTTAATAGAGGAATGGACTTCTAAAATTTGGTATAAAAATAATTTATAGAAAAAAAAATTAAAAATAAAATAGTGTAGAGACGTGACATTGCGATTGGGACAATTTTAGCCCTCAATTCAGAATGGACGGTTGGATAAGGGGGAGGATAGAACTTCTATGCTGTAGAGAATACATAGAAAGCTTGTGCAAAAAACATTATCATCCCAAATCTATGTTCGTTCCGAAATAAGATCAGAACCATCCATTTCAATTGATGATGGATCTAGGTTTGGAGCTCTTATGAAGCTCCAAAACCAAAGGTTACTAGAGGAATAGGATTCATGGCTATATGGAGTTTGGGGGTCCTTGGCACTCTTCCAAAATGGACATTTGGGTGCTCCACCGGGTTCACACCATCATTTATCGCAATTAAGGGGGATTATACTTCCCGAACTTCAATGACCAGTGAGAAGAATGACCTACCTGGGTAATTTGGATGGTAGAATGTCAATATGATGTCTTAAAAGTTTTATTTTTAGTTTTTTACCAACGATCACAATTTGACATTAAAAAAAATGTCCTAGATTTGTGGGAAGTATTCATACAGGATGTTTGTTTGATAACTTTTTTTTTAAAACAATCGCTATCTATGACGGTGTGCCATTATTTGGGTAAATTGCATTTCAAGGTGTAATTTCCAGTGTTCGGGCGATCTAATCAATGACAGCTCAGTTAGATTAGAACTGGTTGGTTCTAGTTTTGGTGATTAATCGATATTTAAAAAAAAGAAATCAAAACAATATATAAAAATTCTTAAAAATTGGGAATTTGATTTGTAATGTATTTTTTTAATATTCTTTACCTTACGGTAAATATTAAAAATTGTTTTGGTCATTAATACTCACTTTTATATTTTTCCATCTTTTTCAAAAAATTAAAAAATACCCTTAAGCACTAATTGATTTGTTAAAATATGTTTTTTGCATTAATTTTTAAATTTCAATTAACTATGTTTTGTTTTAATTATTCTTTATATGTTTTTCATATTTTAGTAGATTTTTTTTTTGTATCTTTTTATTTTTTTAACACTTTTGTTTAACTGCCCGGGACTTGCTCAATTAGAGCGGTTGACTCAGCCAGTTTATCGGTTAGGTTGGTTAAACCTCTTATGGGCCCACGTCTAGTTAATTGTTTTGATTTGATTTTGCAAACACTACTTAAAACCATAGATGGTGATGAGAACAGTGCGTGCATGAAGAGACACTTGCGGCCCATATCTAGGTTAGTGATGTAGAAGGCCAATGTGGTTTTCAAAGAGTACTATTTAATGAGGCTTCTACTCAAAATTAAGGAATGTATTTAATGAGACCATTTACCTCTAGTACAAAGAGTAGGGGTGGCAACGGGTTGGATCCGGCGGAACCCAAACCCAAACCCAGACCTAAATGTATTCGGGTCCAAAAGTTGGACCCATAACTGTACCTGTCGAGATCTCGGGTCTATCCTGTTGGGTCGTAGGTCTGGTCGGGTCCATTGCCACCCTCACTATGAGCTTCCTTTTTTTTTTTTGGCCCTTCACCCAAATTATTGGCAATAAGGTCACAGCCGGCCATTAGATTTCAAGCCTCCTCATTCGTTATTTAATAACTAAAGATGATTATGAATTTTTATTGTATACGATCCTTAATATACCCATATGAATAGATCTTGAAGTATCTAATATATACATAATATATTTATAAGACGAAATAACAAAATCAAATTGGAGAAAGATTGATAGGGTTGAGAGATAAATGGTTAGAAAGAGAAATCGCATGAGCATTAGAAGGAAATTGCATAGTACATAGTCATTAAACAAAATCATATGGTACATGGTCATTAGATAAAAAGAGATTTTGAGAGAGAAATGAACCATCTATAGAATTTAGAAATAGATTAACATGTAAGAAGAGGAGAGAGTCGAATATGAGAAAGGGAGAGAGCCCTCAACGTGCTCAATTGAGAGAGTGGGAGATATGATGCTTTGAGGGGCTAAGAAGGGAAAAAATATAATAAAAAAAGATTTTTGGAACGTGGTAAATTGAGAGTAGGAGATATAATGGGGTTGAAAGGAGAAAACATAGTTAAGAAGATTTCTAGATTGAGATGGTATAAAATGATTTGTTGAGGCTAACTTCTATGGTCAAAAGTGAATAAACAAAGGAGATAAGAGATGAGGGGGTGTGGTCAAATCTTTAGAGGTGTCTTTGTACTGATTGAAAGAAAAAAAAAAAAGGGAGGTCTATTATGAAATAAGATGGGGAATTAAGGTTCTGTATAAATTTTTTTTCAAAATTAATTGTGATCCTTTGTACCAAAATAAAAAGCAAGTACACTATGAGACTATTTATCCTTTGTATAAGGTGAGACATTAATCTTGACCATTGGATGTGAAATTGGGTGGCTACAATTATTCCATTGATCAAGCTCAAACTTTAAAAAAAGATTTCTCGAACTTTGTAACATATCCAAACTATCAAACTTCATATCGAATGGTTGTAAGTAATTGTGGCCACTTTACATTGATACTTTTCCAAGAAAAAAAAGGGACATACACCCCCTTCCTGTTCATAAACAGTATACTTTTCCAAAGAAAAAAGGACATACACTCCCTTCGTGCTTATAGAAAAAAGGACATACACTCCCTTCGTGCTTATAAACCCTTCCATGGAGCTTCTCCAAGATAAAAGCAAGATTTATTATTACGAGGTCATGTAATGTTTTCAGATTTTTACAATTCAATGTATCCGATCGAGCGAAAATTTTTAAAGTTTGTATAGGGCTTAGGCTTTATGAAAATAAAATAAAGCCTCATATCAAATCTTCATCCAAAAATCATTTTCAGTATGAAAATCTTCACAATGGCTCTAAAATTAATTTTCAATACTCACAATAAAATTTGTAACAAAAAAAATACAAATTTTGTCATGAGGTGGGGCTTTACTTATTTTAATAAAGCTGCAGCCGTATCAAACCATTTTCCATTTCTTAAACACGTACGATTCTGTGTAAAGCCAGTGTAGCCTTGTGGCTTTTCAGGTGGAGTTCAAAGGTATAGAGAGAGAGAGAGCAGGAAACAACGGGGCCCAAAAAGAGAGGGAAAGAACAGGAAACCAGAGAGCACTAGTTCTAGAGTGATTGAGCAATGACGTATTGAGAGAGAGAGAGAGAGAGAGAGAGAGAGAGAGAGAGAGAGCTGTATAGAAATGTATTAGACTCCATTTAATTAGTCAGATCTCGATCTCTGAAGTGGCTTCTGCTCATGGATAACAGAAACGTGGTCGTATGTGATAACGGCACAGGGGTGAGTTTCTCCATTTATCTTTGTCTTGATATTTACGCATGCATTTTTCTCATTACGCTCCCAAATTCATTAGAGCTTTTTTTTCAATTGGAAGAAACTGAATTATGATCATTTTAAGGTTATGTTTATATAATTGACCGAAAAAATGGTTATGTTTCTATTGAAATGGAGTCTTAATGGGAATTCTATGAATTTGGAGTTTCTTAGAACACAGTTATATTCTGAAAATTCTAGAATAAGTTCAAGGTAGCGGAAATTTTGGTACTGTATATTGTTTCAGTTCATTTTTTTAGACTGAAGTCTAGTATAAAGTCTTGATTTTGTTTTTTAATTTTGGAATTAGTTGGATTTGTAATTCTATATTTGAATCAGGAGCAATAATCACAAATTTTCTGTTTTCCAGTCGCCAGAAAATCATATTTGGCTCTCCAGTTGTCTTTTAATGGAAAAATTAGTACAAGAGTAAAAAAAGATTTAAATAGGAGAATTTGCACCTTATCGTACCATTTCTATCTTATTTTGTGTTCTTTTAATTAAGGCATTATTATTCTAAGGTCATGTGTAGTTCTACTATCAATGATTTTTTTTTGATTTTTTTCAAAGGGAATTCACTCTTTTTTTATTTTTCTTTTTTCTTTGTCATTTTATTTGCTCATTTTGATGGGCAATGATTTGTTTTAAGGCTCAAATTGCTTAAACTATTGCTAGCCATTTTTTAAGCCATATCAAAACCTCACAATGACTTAAAACTGTTGCTTTTTACAATGCATTAAAACTGCTTCTTTTAAACCTCGCAGTATGTGAAATGTGGCTTCGCTGGAGAGAATTTTCCCACTTCTGTGTTCCCATGTGTAGTGGGCAGGCCCATGTTACGATATGAAGAATCATTAACAGAACAGGAATTGAAGGTGATATTCCACTTGCACTATTTTATTTTACTACTGAGTCTTGACAACTACTCCTCTTTCTACATTTTATTTTATTTTCTTGAGCCCCATTTTAGAAGCTAGATGTACTTATGAACTCACTCAATTTGCAAAGCAATTTTTTGGGTACGTAAAATTGTTTTTTTGTTTTTTTTTTAATTTTTTGATTTTTAATTTTTATATTTTAATTTATGTTATGAACTTTCCTGAAATCATTGTCATGTAGATTTGTTATGTCAATGTCAAATTTGTGGAATTTATTAATGTAACGAAGAATATTTCATTATTGGCATGGGTTTTGTACTATTTTTGCTGTTTTCACATCCAAACCAAATCAAATTCAGGATATTTGGGTTCCTTACTTCGTAGAGTGTTTTACTTTGTTTTTATGCCCCTATACATGTCTGGTGCATAAACCTTAATGTTTATTTTCGGCTACATTCAGGATATTGTTGTTGGGGAAGCTTCTGCAGAACTAAGACACCAGCTTGATATATCTTATCCTGTGAACAATGGCATTGTTCAGAATTGGGATGATATGGGCTATGTCTGGGATCATGCATTTTTCAACGAGTTGAAGGTAACGTTCTTTATTGGCAAAACTCCTCAATTTTTAGGCTTGTTATGTGCACCTTCCCAGTCCAAAGAGGTCTACAAAACTATCGACGTGCTTGCTATATGTGGTTCTTATTTGCCCAATTAACCTTATGGAGCCTTCTTCCCTTTATCAATCAAAGACATGTGATATTCTGCATTTAGTTTATTCCTTTATCAGTGAGGGAAAGGGACAATGGGTTTCTCATGCCATTGACTGTTTCAATAATTATAGTGTTTTTGATAGTTAAATTACTGCTTGTAGCTGTGCTTTCATTTGTGGCTGGTCTCTGTTTTGGTTAAGGTTTTGCTAACGCTGTCTATTGTTGTCAATAGGTTATTTCTTTCATGAACTAGTAACATACTATTCTTTTATCAGCTTATATTCCCCATTTAGTATTTTTTAGGATAGAATGAGTGAGACTGACATTTTGACCTGCAACAGATAGACCCAACGGAATGTAAGATTTTGCTGACAGATCCACCTCTTAATCCTTCAAGAAATCGAGAGAAAATGGTAAGTCTATCGTATGAATCTTAAATCTCGCTGAAAATTTCATCCAAAGTTTTGAAGCATAGCATATATACATTTTCCTGCCAAAGCTTTGGTAGTTCGTTTCTGAACTGTGGATTTGAAACTCTTACAGATTGAAACCATGTTTGAGAAGTACAGCTTCACAGGTGTCTTTATCCAAATCCAGGCTGTTTTGACATTGTATGCTCAAGGTGCTTCCTATGATTAGTGAAGGTTTAAGACTTTAGTATGTCATCAATCACTACTGCATATCCTTGATATTGTATGGCTGTGTGAGCTTATTTCTTGTGATCTTTGCAAACTTTGATGTGATCACTGTAACTGCTGTACTGTTGAAATGATGCTTTAACCATCGTTTTCAACCTTTTAAGCATTCTTTTATTTACAGGCTTGCTGACTGGTCTTGTGATCGATTCTGGTGATGGTGTGACTCATGTGGTAAGAGGCTTGTAAATTATGTGAGGTCTTCTTTTATTTTCTTCTTTGTGGTCTTTAGCCTGCATTTTGTTTTTCAAGGACTGTTTTCTGTTCATCTTTCTGGACTAGCTTGACTTTTATAAGAATTGGTTACTTGCCACTGGTGAGCATGCCATGCTCTTTGCAACTTCCATCATTTTAAGGATTCTTGTGTGTTTACATGTGGGCGTGAATCTGTGTGAATCATTGTTAGTAGCTTCCTTTGTTCTAGCTCATCTGACTATGTCACTATGCCAAGCTTATGACTTGCCCTGCCTTGATAGTTTGTGCCTTTTCAAAGACTGTTTTCTGTTCATCTTTTTGGATTAGCTTGACTTTTATAAGAACTGGTTACTTGCTACTGGTGAGCATGCCATGCTCTTGGCAACTTCCATCATTTTGAGGATTCTTTGTGTGTTTACATGTGGGTGTGAATCTGTGTGAATCATTGTTAGTAGTCTCCTTTGTTCTAGCTCATCTGACCATGCTAAGCTTATGACTTGCCTTGCCCTGCCTTGATAGTTTGTGCCTTTAGAAAATGTCAATGGTAACAATAACGAAAAAAGCAGATATGAAAAAAAGGCCATGGTTTCTGCAGACATTTATTTTGGTTTTCTGCTATTTTTGTTGCCTATCTTAAGCCTTAAAGTATCCCTTGCTTGGATGTCAACTAGAATAGTGACACTTCTCTTTACTAGTTTTGTGATTTGATTCTTGATGAGATATGTCTACAATGATAAATGCAAGCTTTTATGACTGTTCTCTACTTTATGCCATCATCACTGTTTGAAGTGAAGCAACGAGTATTCATTTTATCCATCAGTCTTTGACATGGAGGTCTTTAATTTTCATCAGGTGCCTGTTGTTGATGGGTACTCGTTTCCTCATCTTACAAAGCGGATGAATGTTGCTGGTCGGCACATAACATCTTATCTTGTAGATCTGCTTCTCCGAAGAGGGTGAGTTATCCTTTCAAAATTATTTTATCAACCAAGAGAATGGCTCTTTTAATGCTTATTGCTCATCGGATGTTAATCTTTGTCTTTTTAGGTATGCAATGAATAGAACAGCAGACTTTGAGACGGTTAGAGAAATTAAGGAAAAGCTCTGTTACATCAGGTGGGTTGTGATTCCTTCCTCATTATTCACCGAATGTTTTATAGTTTTGTCACTCTTCATCATCTAAAATCGTTGCTACTCTTTCATGTAGTTATGATTACAAACGTGAGTACCAGTTGGGATTGGAAACAACTATACTGGTTAAAAATTACACAGTAAGTTTATTATTTTAATGTGCTTGTGAAGTTTGTTATTGAGAAATTTTATTGTTGGTGCAACCTAATTTCTTCACTTCTATACAGTGTTTAATTGGTAAGGAATGTGTATTTTGTTTGAGGCCTTTTGTATGCTTTTTGAGGAGTTTGAATGTCTAACATTTTGAACGCTTTTAAAAATGCTTTTAAAATATGTAGTAGCTGGTGATTTCTATGGTTATCTTTTGGAGGTTAAGCTGTGATTCATCAGTTTGTTTCTTGCCCTATTTCATAATTTCTGTAGTCATCGTATGTTGATCATTTGTATTAGATAAACTTGCATACTCTTTGACCACTGGCCGAGTGGTACATTCACTTGTCTTCCATCTGGTTTCTGCGTGCACATACTCATGGCCAATTCAGAGACAATGAATTGTTTTCCTTCTTTCTTTCTTTTCTTTTATCTGTAAAATACCCTTTTGGTGCAATACACCAGTACCATGTTGTTATTGCCTCTCCTATCTACCACACCTCCCGATGTAGGAATATATTTTTAGCTTTAATCCTGTGCAATGGTGATCCTTCCTGGAGAAAAGCCCAAGTTTTCTTGAATTAGCATGTGCAAGATGCTACCTCTTTGGAAATATTTTGTGCTACTAAAATATTCTGAAAACAGCTGCCAGATGGAAGGGTTATTAAAGTTGGCACTGAGCGGTTTCAGGCACCTGAGGCTCTCTTCACTCCAGTAAGTCTACATCTTTTTTTTTTTTGAGATTCTCTGTAATGGTTGCATCACTTGGTTCTGATCAAACATATTTTGGTTTTGCATGACTTATTAAGGGTTTCACATTCTGATTCTGAGATAAATTTGCTGGATATTTCCCGTATGCTCTAAAAGAAAATTAAGAGGGGTTTTTGTTGGATCTGTCACTTTTTCAACCCTAATGTTGTTGGACATTTATTTTGTTGAATTAATGAAACTTGGTTGAGAGAGGACTTGAGCCTGTTGCACTTTCCGCCCTCCTTTTTGATGCATAAATGAAGAAGGGACTAAACTTTGCACCTCTCACCATCTAAATAGACCTCTCAACGCTCTCTCTACATTTTTCTTTTGTTTTGGCAACTCTTGCTGTTTCAACACATAGTACAGATATCACATCATAATAATAGGATAAGATTGAAGGAGGAGAATAGACGAACTCTCTATCCCTCTTCAGTTCACTGAGGGATATCTGAAAGAAATTGTGGCAAGAAACTGATAAAATCAAATGGTAGAGGTTGGCGTTTTGCTGCACTGATGAGTTTTCTTTTATTAGATATGAATATTATCTTGAAACCCTAAGAAAACCAAAGTGATAAATTATCATTAGTGAGCTTAAAGGTTTCCACGTGCAACCAACTTCTTATATGGTATTTTTTGTGGCGGGAATAGGCATGTTATTAATTGGATCTTGCAGGTACTAAGTACTTGATGTAATCTGTCTTGGGTGGAACCCAGAAATATGGCTATCCTTCACTCTTGAAAAGCCTCCACGCTGAAATGGTCCAATATTAAATGAAAAATAGGAAATGAGAGATGCTCCATGCAACTGACATACTGATTGAACATCCGTACCTCTCATCCTTTGTTTTATGTAGGGCATTGTAAGAAAATTCGGGTGAGTTGTCAATTGGGATTGTATACAATGATACCATTTATCTTTATTACAAGGAGGTCACAACCACTCCTACTCATTAGATGTCAAATTGGATGGCTTGGGCTAATCACGAAGTGGCACCAATAGGCGAAAAAATGAGAGAGAGTAGCTTAGTTGGGCTGGCCATGTGTGGCACTAACCAAGTACATCACCTATTAGGAGGTGCGAGTTAGTTCAAGTGGAATGATTGAAAAGAGCAATAGTTAGGCCCAAAAGAAGGACATGGTTGGAAGTAGTCCGAAAAGATATGGGACTTTATGGTCTCACTGAGGATATGATCTTTAATAGAGTAGAATGGAGAACCATGATTCATGTAACGGATCCCTTAATGGGGAAAAGGCTAAAATGATGATGATGATGGGCTATAGTCATGAAGTTCGAGAAAGTTTTTTTTAAACTTTGAGTCTTTTCAATGACACTATTACAATCACCCAATTTGAAATCCAAATGACAAGAGTGATTGTGACCTCCTTGTGCAAAAAGTAAATGGTCTCTTTGTATACTTTTCCTTGTCGATTTGGACTTGCCCAAGTCACTCGGACCTGTAGGTTGCCGAGTCTAGAGCACCCCCAAATTCAGCGTATTTAGAAGTATATTGATACCTAATTAATATATAATTGATTCAATCTTTAACTAAATCAATTGTAATTGGCTTATAATTAATTTTGTATATACTTTTTATTTGTAATTAATTTTATAATTTCTCAAATAGTTGGGATAAGGCTTCATGAGTAATTGGAATTTTATGTAATCGCCACATACCAATGAGGCTGAAAGGTAAGTTTTATAGGACGACGGTGAGACCAGCTTTGCTCTATGGGATGGAACGTTAGACAGACAAAAAACAATATACCCATAGAATGAGTGTAGTGGAGATGAGGATGATGAGATAGATGACTGGCAAGACAAGAAGGGATAAAATTCGAAATGAATCTATTCAAGAGAATTTAGACGTGGCACCAATAGGTGATAAAATGAGAGAGATTAGACTTAGGTGGGCTAGCCATGTGTGGTGCTGACCAACTACATCACCTGTTAGGAGGTGCGAATTAGTTCAAGTGGAAGGACAAAAAGGGCGAGGGATAGGCTCAAAAAGACGTGGTTGGAAGTAGTCCGAAAAGATATGGGGACTTATGGCTTCACTGAGGATATGGCCTTTAATAGAGCAGAATGGAGAACCAGGATTCATGTAGCCGACCCCAATTAATTGGGAAAAGGATGTAATGATGATGATGATGATGATGATGATGATGATGAGTTGGGAAAAGGCTTTGATGATGATGATATACTTTTTGTGTTTTTTGTTTTTAATATTTTCTATATTTCTTATTTTTCTGAGAGTTTTATGAGAAAATGATGTTTAACCAGTTTAATATTTATTAAAAACTTTTTTCTCATGCTTTATATACTTGTTATGTTGTTTATTAATTTTTTTTTCTACTTTTATTAAATTTTCAGGATTGTTCCCAATTTTATTTTGTATTTTTTGGCTTTTTCGGTGGCTTAGTGAAAACTTGGTCAAATGGACTTGGACTTCCAAGGGTCCGAGTTCCTCGTCTGAGGTGCAGTTTCTTTTATTGGAGGTAGTGTACACCATTATGCAGGGGCCTCTGATGATAGCACTCCTAGACAACATCCACCTTCCATCCTGATTGTTGGAGGTTAACCAGTCAATGAGAGAAGATGGTGGACATAGCATGCAGGGCCATATACAGTCCCTTGGACGATGGTTTACTTTCCCTTTTATGTATGACTCATATCTTACCCTACGTTTGTTGTGCCTATAGGAACTCATTGATGTTGAAGGTGATGGAATGGCTGACATGGTATTCCGTTGCATACAGGAAATGGATATTGACAACCGCATGATGGTATGTTTATTGTAACCTTTTAATTTTTGCTTCTAGATAAATGTAATCGGTGCTAACATGTTACACCTTTAGGTTGGGTTGCAATCCAGAATGTAGATCACTATTTTAGAAAGAACCTTTTGCCTACTAAAGGACTTTTGGCAGACTCTCTCTGATCATTATATGATGATTTCGTCATTTGTTGGCTTTATCTAACCAGGTCTGCAAAAATATTGGTGCTTTGTTCTACATGGGATATGAAGCCCTTGATTCTTTTTCCTGATTTATTGTAGGGAATATCAAATGCTACATTTCTATGTTCGAAATTGCTCTTTATGGATGCCATTTGTTTGAAGTGTGAATGGAGTGTATTGCTTTTCATTTCATCTTTACATGTTGAGTAAAGTGTTATGTACCATCCAATACTCTGATCTACTAGCTCTAGACTAAGCAAAATTCTTTATGATTATTTTAGTCGTGTACTATGTAGCTTCAAGGACAAGCATCAATAAACCTACCAAGCTGGTATCTTTTGAAGTAATATCAAAACGGGGTAAAAGATGAGTTAGATGAGTTGCAGTGAGAAATCTGCAAGCAATAACTGACTTCAACCCATTGACTAAACCATACTTACATAAACTCTTTTTGGGTATGCTTCTCAGATACTAGGCATACCAGTTTCCAAAATTTCCATCAGAGGTTTCAACCAACTAGAATGTCCCCCTACTTTGTTTTGTACATTGTTTTGTTAAATTTGACACTAGGTCATATAGTTCATAAACGGGTGTCACTTCAAGTATTTATCGGGCGCCATTTATTTGGTTTTTTGGGTGAGGTTTTGATGAGGCTGCAGCAACAAACAGCAGCACCTCAAATCGTCGCCAAAGTACTCAAATAAGGTGATGAAAACCTTGTGATGACCTGCAAATTGATATCCGTCGCTGACTGTGGAATTTGGAATCCCAAAAATGTGCAGATCATAGAAAAAGTGATGAAAGATGGACCAATTTTAGGGCCTGAAGCCCATTCTTTTCCCAGGCTGTCGAGGTGGAGTTGATGGATTTGCAGACTTGCCTGCATCAGATATACTTTTTCCAGGGGTATTTGAGGTGCAGCTGCATACAATACAGACTTAGAAATGCTTTTCCTTTATTTTCAACCTTTCTTTATAAAATATATAAACTATTACTTTTGGGAGAAATTTTATACAAGGCAGATGCTAGAAAGCAGGGCCACACCTTCCAAACCAGCCGTAAAAAGATTGTTCTGGTGCTAGAAAACCCTCAAATCGATCATCTCGACCTCGACAATTGTGGGTCTTAAAAAAGAAGGATTACTAGGACTAAAAACAATGCATCTTGTAACACATTCTATGGACAATCCATTTTTAAGTGTTTATGGATCCTCCAAATCTATGCCTAGGAGCTTTAGATTTCATAATATGGGATGAGAATAGAATTTCAAGCCATGGTGATGTGGAATAGGCTGCCTCATATTTTAAAACTTTTTCTATTAAATTTCAGGGATTTACTTTTGGGATTTTCTAGGATTTACTTTTAGGTTGCATAGCTTTTTAAGTTTTTTTAGATTTTAGAATCACTTTTGAAAAGAATTAAGGTTGTTATGATATTTTGTTGAAGGCAGAATTATCTATTTTATCAGGGGTAAAAGTGTCATCACGAATTTACGAATTTTATCATACTAAGGAGTTCTATTCCAATTAGAATTGGGATCTCTTAGGTTCTAAGTAAAGCTTTTTTTTATCATAAATAGAGATTTAGCTGAGAGCTTTTTTTTTGAACGTTAATGGTTAGTAGTGGGTTAGCAATTTTTGAAACCGTTATAGTTTTCGAAAGGTGTTAGCGTTGGTAGGAATGGAAACCGAGACTGGTAGTTGAGTCACTGGTGGTGCTACCACCTTGATCTCAACCCCATTCCTGATTCAGATCAGAGTTTTGATAATTGTTTCCAAAGTGATTCCTCATTTTCACCAGAAAGCTAGAAGCTTGGCTTGTAAGCTTGATGCTTTGAATTTCAATCAATGCTTCAGATCTTGTTTGTTTTTTGTTTGTGACATCTTGTATCCAAGTTTGAATTTTCCTGGCTAAATTAAGTTAAGGGAATTTCTGTCGCTGGAACAACACTTTCTTGTGGTGTTTGGAGGTGCTTGTCTACTGTTTTCATAAGGTAGCCACCTTATATAAACGTACACCGTTCTATATATACTACTGTTTTTGACAATAACATAGATCCTAAAATCCTTAAATTTTTGTTTAGGATAGGGGTACATATATGGAACTGTTTAAATAGCAGAGATCCTGAAACCCTGAATTTCTGGTTTATGATATGGATAAATATATGCAACTGTTCTATTGACAATTTGACGATAAAAGAGATCCCGAAACCCTAGAATTCTGGTTTATGATACTTTAGAGAATGATGTAAATCCCAACTAGTTTTGCATATTGTGCTATTATTTTCCTAAGATTCTAATTTAAGAACTGAGTATCAATTGCAATGTGTACTTATTTTATTTCATATTGTGTCCTATATGTATATGCTGCCGCATATTTTGAGTGACCAGAATCCCATAGACTGTAAAAAAATCCCTAGCTTATTAAAGAAACATTTACAAATCCTAGCCTTTCTAACCTCAAAGTACATGCAGATATGCAAGCAGGCCAGGCCGGCCCGATGGGTCAGAGTGCACTGGTCCGGGCCCTGCCTGAATTTCCAACTTGGGAGATTAACAGGCTTGGCCAGGGCCTTAGTATCAAGGCCTGATGGGCCCTTGTTATATGTGAGTTACATATGTATATGCGCAATATGCAATATAAATTACATAACATAATATAGAAGTTCTGCTTTTCTGACCTCTGACATCGATAATTGATCTATTATTTGAATGACCCCTTTTTTCCTTTCAGATTTTCACTAAATAATTTACTCACCGCCTTTGTCTGTGCGATACTTCTTGCCTTACGAATCCAAAGGGGTTCCAATACATATATAAGTTATTTGTGCAAGTTACATAATGTAATTTGCAAATATTTTGTAGTTTACATAACATAATTTATGTAATTTACGTATGTAATTTTATCTAAGTCACATGATTGTTAATGATTCACCCATGTTTTGGGTGGGTTACTAAGATCACAATTGGTGACTTTTATTTTAATTTCTTGGAGGCCATTCCACCCATGTTTTGGATGAAATTTTGGAATAGCCGGATGCTGGCTGGGGATTGGGCTTTTCTGGAATCGGCTGTAACCCAGCCTGATGCATATTTTATGGTAGAACTTTCAAGAAGATCAGATGGCCTACATTTTGCTGTTTGGCGTGATGACATAGATACATGGTTTTAATAGAAGTGTGACAGGGTTATTCTTTGGGATTTAATTAGGGAGGGGGCCTTGGGAGAAACTGAAATAATTTGTGTCTAAATTTTAGTTCTTCC